ATCCTAGGTACAGGAATAAATCTGCAGATGCACAAGAAAAAAATAAAACCAAGCACACGTCACAGCATTACCCAGAGTTTAAGTTACTCAGAATATTACTCAAATAGTGAATTCAATTCTCCAAAAACCCTTTTATTAAGGTAATAACTTTATTTCATCTCTGTATCTCTGTTCTAGCTATAACTTTGTTACAATTAGCCCTCGGTTACAAACAGACCAATTGACTTTCAAGTATTTTTTGAGTCCTGATTTTTTTATTTCCTTTGCCGGGTTTTTTTTTGGGGGTGTGTGTGTGTGTGCTAATTATTGCACATAAGCATTTCCTACCACGTTGCAAAAGGCAAGCTTTGGTTCAATTTTCTTGTCCTACACAAAGGAAGATTTCGAGTGCAGAATCTTAGCCATTAGGTCCTGCGATGCCACTTTATTGTCATCTGGATTTATTGAAGTGAGTGGGTAAAGGGGAGGGACAAAGGGGGCGGGATGAGAAAGGGAAGAAGGGAAGGGATCTCAGCTATGTTGAATCTTGATTCACGACTTTGCCTCCATTCATGGTGGGTGTTCCAGAACTTTTCCTTGAACGCCCTTGTTTTTCTCCAATTTCATGTAGTGATGGCTCTCTGTACATACACACTGAAAAGCAAAATTACAACAATTATTAATTATAGTGGCAGACAATTGATTCGACTTCAGGAAATTTCTCAAAGTTTGATTTGATTAGATCCCTCACTCTCACAACCTAGCTCTTCTTCAGTTTATAGCTGTTAATATAGTCAGTGGACACCTTGATTCCATTCCAGTTCTATCAGTCATAACCTCTTAAGTCTCCCTTGAACTACAGACATGCGATTGGTTTCTGTTCTCTTATATATAAGGCTTGATTCTTTACAGTCTCCTAATCTATATAACAGGATTTTCATACAGACTTAGAGGAGGCAATGCACATATAACATTTAAGGTGTCAACATAGTTATTTTGCTTTTTGGTTCGTAATCTGAAATCTAGTCTGGGTAAGGGAAAATATTTACTTACAAGATCTTTTTCTCTGGCTAAAAGCAATAGAGCAGCACTGTGTCACATAGAAATATTTATGGACAATTTTCAGGGCATCCTCTGTAAAGTTATGATGGGAATAATACAGTAGAGGAGGGGGAAAGATAAATAGCCCATTACTTTGTAGTTGTTCATCAAAAGCTAGTGTGATTATGAAACTGTGAGATTCTAGTTCCATCTTTATAAACAGATTTTTTCTACACCATTTTGTCAATCTGTAAAACTCAGTCACTGCTGATATCTGAGTATTCAGAAAAAACAATGTTTTCCATTCATGCATCTTCTTTCAAGATAGACTATCAGAATCTTAAATGCATTCACATAATTTCATCATACTATTAAGAGGCCAAAAGGTATGACAGGATAAAAGCATGTGATATAGTTTAGTTAGATATCAACAGTTATTTTTATCATTGGTTTAGGAGCAAATACTTAACTCCATCTATAGAACCATCACTATAGCGATTTGGTTCTCTGAATGGTGTTTCCAGCATCAAGGCGTTTCCCCACATGACGTTGGGATTTGCCCTGGAATTGGAAGCCTGAGCCTGGCTATGGCTGAGCAATTGTCAGATGATGACAGCCACACGGCCTAGGTCCTACTCGGACTTGAGCATCCTCTGTCGACTTAGCCACGTTTACATAACTGCAAAGTAGCATTTTTATGAGGATAAAAATGTCTGGAATACAGCAAATCCTGAAAGATTATTTTTTAAAATAAATGAAAACATGAATCTTGTCAGGCGATTGGTGGATAACAGAATCAGAGGACACACTGATAAGTTATTTTGGCTGAAGGTAATCTGAAAGTAACAGAGGCTAACAGAATTGATGTATGAGTCACAGTCAATAATGAAGAGGCAAGTTTCTGACAACGTCTCAAGTGTTAATGTGCATTTTAATCATATAAGGCTATCCGTGTAACTCTGGTGGCACAGTGGGTTAAGCATTGAGCTGCTAATCACACGTTCAAAGGTTAAAATTCAACAGCCGCTCTGACTCTGCCTGTTTTCATTCAGATGGACAGTCTCAACAACACTACTGAATTGTTCTACTCTGCCCCGTAGGGTCGC